GCTGAGATATTATTTCTCTTTTCACTTAGTATTGACTTGATATTTCCTGGATCAAATGAAGTTATTTGCTTAAATTAGTCTCTCTTATTTACTGCAAACCATAGATTTTAAGTATCTTTCACCAGGTTTGATATCATAAATCAAATTATGCAGAAGTGAAGTTAATTTACTTGAAGAAAATAAAGTCTAGCATATTTTTGATGATTTGATGAAATTGAGAGCTATTCATTTTCTTGTTTTCTCCTCCACCCGAAAGTATGTTTAGTGAGGTCATTCTTCCAAATAATGTTAAAAGCAATTCATGAAGATCTCACATAGGCCATAAGCTCAAGTGGCAAAAATAATACAATAATATCTTTAGCCGTGATTTCCAAGAGCTGAGAAAATTCCAGTAGTCCACGATGAAAATCTAGTTGACTTCTCTATGCCACTACAGGGTTGGTGAGCTTGCACACATTCACACTCAGCACAGTAAGAAGGTGATGATGGACTTAACAACCTAGGCAGAACAGGAATTCACCTAAAATCCCACATTTTCTCTAACAGTGCCTCCTTCTATTTCACAGCACAAAGTGAGACACACTGTGGATCAAAGTTCAGGGGGCAATACTGGAGAATCTCATACTAGAAGTTAAGTGGTACAAAGTTCACACTACACCTCCATCTCTGAATTCTATCTCACAGGATGAGAATCTTCAGCTTTCACAATCAAAATAACTTCCCAGGGAAGAGTGGTCAGGCTGTGACATCAGCCATACTTACTGGACAAAAGACCATCTTAGCTACCATTTTGGCTTCAGTCTCTTCTCTCTGATTATTCCCAGGATTTCTTGCTCAGTTAAACCAAAAAAATTAAAAAAAAAAAAAAAAAACCTACTATGTGTCCATCCCACCATTGGAAAAGCATATGCCTTGTTACTTGTTCTGCCATGTTAAAAATTCTGATTAAGTCATGCTCTTTAATCTTGTTCTCCTTATAATGAGTAGCATGAACTTAAGCACAGTTCCTTGGTATTGATGTGTGTCTCTATTCATGGACTACATTTTTGTCACTATTACTAAAGAGAAGATGGTTGCCCCACTGAGGACAAGGTATGTGGCTTTGGAGCCATTAACATGGCTTTACAATTTGAGATACACAGCAAAAGACACTCCCTGTCCAATTAAAATCACCATTTCTTTAGTATCTACCATATGTATGGCATTGTGATTTTTGTAAATGTATGGTCCTACTGTCTTTGTGTTTCTTCTTTGCTTTCTCAAGCTTAGATTTATGGCTTCAGAAAGAACCTAGTCCTAGACCATAATAAGCAACTTTTTCTGCAAAGGGTCAGATACTATTTAGGCTTGGAGGGCCTAATCACTGGCACAATTACTTACTTTGTGGTTATAGTACAAAAACAGCCCTAGACAGTATGTGAACAAGTAAATGCTACTGTGTCTTAATAAAAACTACTTACAAAAAACAGGTGATGGGTCATATAGGCATTTGTTGACCCCTGACCCAAATCAGAAGGTTGCCCAAAGCAAGCTACCGGTACCACTAGCAATGATCACATAGTGTGTATTCAGAGGTGTTAAATGAATGAACAAAAATAAATTTTCAAAGGACCAAGAAAGTACTCTCTGGATCAGTCATAATAACAAATGCATAATTTTCCATACCTGGCCATACGGCAACAAAGTACTCTGTCAGGAGAGAATAACTGGTACTCCAATTTATTTCATACTACTATTAATTGCTGTCTTTTATTGTTATTTTACCACATGAGTGTCTTTTAGGAATTTGTTCCTTTTTTCAAAGCATCGTGAAAAGATGCATTAAATCTAAGCTGTGATGCTGCATATATCTGCCCATTTCAACAGCTCTCCAAGTAGAAACAGGAAAATTGAAGAGCTATTTCTTTTGCAAGCGTTCCCTTTCACATGTTGTTTTAATTTTTCAGTTTCATCAAGCAGGTAGGCTGCCATCTGGTTGATTCTTGACAGTTCGCAGTGGTTTTAGCTAAACCTTGGCAGTTGATTTTTTTTAATGAAGGCAACCAATGTTTTGACAAAATTTGACCCTGTGTCTCTAGAGAAATTATTGAGTTTTTAGAACCTGTTTTCAGACCAACTTCTCCCAGAAAGGATTCATAGCTTTCCTGCATCTTCAGGAACTCTACCTTTTTACAGTCAGTTGTCACGCTTACTGACTAAAAAGGGTTTTTTTTTTTAATATGAAATAAACAAAATGGCATTGCAAATAAGTCTTGTGAAATGATAAGAATAACACTTTTTAAAGGCATTTTACTAAATATCTTATCATAAAAAATAGATTTCCAGATGCCAAAATAAAAGCAAGCAGAACTATGATCTCCCAAAGTAAAAGTTTTTTCTTGACTTACAGACTTGTTGGTTTTTAAGTTTGTACCTAAAATTTTTTATAAATAGAAGCCCACAGAATTTCTTAACCAAATAAATAAGTAAATTTTCTGGGGAGCGGGGAATGTACCTGAATTCCATTTCTTTTTCTAACATATCCTTTTCTTCAAATTTTTTTATCCAAAAGATTCCTAACAAAGGGAAACCAGCACTACCTTAAAAATAAAATGTTTGTAGGTACCTTATGCAGTATTCAAGTCCAGACAGGCCAGGGTACTGCAATAATCCCGCCAGCTTTTAAAGTCTACAGATGCCTGGGCCCATGTCAGGATAAAGCAGGGGATCTGTGGGTGCAATAGGGCTGCTCTCCAGGTGGCCCTTGGTGCTATTTCACATTTTGGGACCTTTGAATCAGAGAACTCTCCCAGCAAGGCAGCTACATCTGTGCAAGGCTCCAATGATGATCAAAATGTCCCCAGATTTCTTTTCTCGGCAGTAGGCAAATTCTCTCTCCATCCTTCTGATATTCATCAAAAACAAGGTGCCAGCCACAAAATCCTATTTATTTCTGCCTTAGGTCCAGCATCTGTCTTCAGAACCATAGATTCGCTTTCATTTACCAGCTTTTCCAATCCCTAAAAACAAGCTGATGTTCGCACACAGAAGCGTGCTAGTCATAAAACCACAAAATGAAACGACTGTTTCTGATTGTGATGTAACACAAACCCATGTGGCAACGTAAACCTCTCATGCCTTGATTACACACATCAGTGTGTGAGAACATTTCTGGAAGCTAAGTGGGGAATTCACTGCAGCAATATGTGATTCCACCACATTTGGGAAAGTCGCATGGATAGGCACTACTGATTAAAACCGAGCAACGCAACAATAAATATGTACTCAACATCTGTGTACCAGGTAATGAGGAATTTGGATGAAAAAAAATTTTTTTGAAAGAACAGAGTTTTAGTAAGTGATTTCAGCTCCATGATTAACTCATTTGTCCATTCAGTTTCCCAATGAGTTGCTTAATTCTCCCAAGGAAATGATATGTTAGCAAAATCCATTATTTAGATGTAATAAATGTTTGTTTCTCTTTTTCTATAGTAACTGAAATTTTAAAATTTTGTATCATTGCAAATTCAATAAAACTGTGACCTGCTTTGTATTGTACATAGCTGATTTTAAGTAGTTTCGATAGTTAAGTCTCCAACATGATAGATGTATTTCCTCTATAAAAAGTTTAAGAGCATTTGCTTGTTTCCCCCAGGCTCAGCTTATATTAGGAATGATCAGTTAGGGAGTTGGGGCGACTTACCAGACACAAGAAACCAAGGCTGTAACTGTAACCACAGGGGAGAAGAGGTAGGGAGCTGCTGAAGGAAAGAAAGACAGACAGACAGAAAGAAGAAGAAAGAAAGAAAGAAAGAAAGAAAGAAAGAAAGAAAGAAAGAAAGAAAGAATGAAAGAAAGAAAGAAAGAAAGAAAGAAAGGAAGGAAGGAAGGAAGGAAGGAAGGAAGGAAGGAAGGAAGGAAGGAAGGAAGGAAGGAAGAAAGAAAGAAAGAAAGAAAAAGAAAGATGTCTCCAAAATGTTTCCTGGTTAGCAACCTGGGCAAGTTGTGATACCACACCTACTAAGATAGGAAATACATAAGAAGCATCTCTGCTGTGGTAGAGATTTGGAGTATTGTGGTTTATGTACAGATGTCCTCCCAACCCTCAAAGCCTCATGCACTCATATGAGGGACTTTGGGGAGGCAATTGGATTATAGGAGCATGATACTCATCAGTGCATTAATCCACTGATGCATTGATAGCTAAATGTGATTTGGGAGCCTGGCTAGAGGAGTTGGGTCATTGGGAGCGAGGCCTGCAAGGGTCTATCTCCTGCTCTCCTCCCTTGTTCTGTCTCTGCTTCCCTCTGCCATGCCATGAACTATTTCTCCTCTGCCTTGTCTCTCTGCCATGCTGCCCTGCCTTAGAACCAGCTAACTGTGGACTGAAACCTCTGCAGACTGTGGGCCAAAATAAACCTCTGTTCCTTAAGAGTTGTGGATGTTGCATACTGTGTCTCAATAACAAGAAGGTGACAAAGGCAGGGAGAAATGATCACTTCAATCACAAATACATTGCCTCAGGACCACAGGCATTCATGTTAGGTACTGGAAAAGTAGAAGAAAATAATGTGCCTGCAGGATATGGTTGTGCACACCTGTAATCACAAGTACCTGGGAGAACAAGATAGGAGGATCTCCATGATTTCTAGGCCAGCCTGGGCTACATAATAAGCCCAAGGCCAGCCTGAACTACATAGGGAGATCCTCCTTCCCTAACTTTCAAAAAAAAGCCAATCCGAGAAACTTAAAAGACTCTTCCTTAAAACAAAAATCTTTAAATGAAGGGCTGTAGCCCAGCAGTATAGTGCTTGGCTGGCACGTGTGAGGCCCAGGGTTTAATCGCTAGTACCACAAACCAAGTTAAAAATGCTCGAGAGTAAGGGCAATCAATACACCCAATAATTATGCATCAATCAAATTTTTTAAAACTAAAAATCTTTTAAACAATAATAGTTAAAAACTCTGTGTCCTGACTAGGCATAACAATACTCTATAAAAAAAGCACTTACACAACTCAATGGCTTTCAATGCTTGGCATTTATTTAGTTCAAGATGCTGCTGACGATTCCAGAAGCCAGGTTCACTCCTGCTCATTCATCCTTCCATAGCCAGCTGCAAGCCCAGCCGGGTGGGCTTTGCTGATACAGCTGTGTATAAAGCATGGGCTGCAACAACTCTGCTGACTCAGCACTGCTAGCGTGCCCTCTCCTCCTCTAAAAGGCACTTTCTCAAGGTAGTGACAAAGGTGCGTACAAGAGCATGCAGATCCAGAGGCCGCCACGAACTGAGCACAGCTTTGCTTTCACCTAGCCTGTTGAACAAAGCAAGTTAAAGTTCTCTTTCTCTTAGAATCAGATATTCATAAAATTTTAGTACTAAAGGAGACCATAGTGATTATATTCTTATATCCTTTCACTTACAGAAACCTGAAGCATAAGGAAATAGGAGCAATCAAATAATTAACAGTTACAAAGCCAAGGTAAAAATATATTCCAAGGGCATCTAAAACCATGCCCTTCCAGAATATCATACTGCTGGTAACCAAAAGTATTCAACCCCTTTAAGTAATGTGCCCTAATAACTAATAATGCAGTCCCACCTAGAAAAACAGCTACTCCCAGCAACAACTCCACACAGAAAAAGGTAGAACACAGTCTCTACTGGGAAGCTGGTTTTTCCTACCATAGAATTTTTTGTTTTGAGAGGAAAGAGGGAACTGACTTTGCCCTTACCGTATTAAAAATAATCTGACTGTAAATCTAACTGATTGAATTTTTAAAAAATTTGTTCTTTGCTAATATTTGCATTCAAATTTTAGATTTTTTTAACCAAGGCATGTACTTTTAAAGCTAGAATCCCTCCTACCTATTAATTGAAGCAAATTATTCTTATACTTTGCTTCTTGCAGCTGCTTCATGAAACTACCTTAGGTAAAATCACTTAGCACTAAACTAACAGCCTTTGGGGGCTTATTCATTCACTCAACGTGCATTCATGGAGCATCCAATGTGGTCTCCTCAGCAAACAAAGGCAAGAGAAGATATCCCAGGTTGTTAGAGAAGCTGACTCTTTCAATCTAAAATTCTAGGGAGTAATTAAAAGGATGTATTAAAGTAAAACCTGTTCACAGAATTTAGATTTGAGACCCCGATCTCTAAAAGCCCTTGACCACCCAGGATGGTCAGGCATAAACTCAGGGAAAACAGTAGCAGAGTATGAGTATAGAAGTGCGACTGAAGGAGCAGACTTCACAGTCATCCCAGAAGTAGGTTTGACAGTATTCTATGACTAAAATTCAAGACTCAAGATGATGAATAAGATGGACATTAGTTCTCTGAATGAAACTAGAAGTGACCAGAAAATCACAGTTTTAAGAGTGAAATAGTTTTATTAGTTTGTTGAGTTTGAGATAACTACAGATTGCATAAAAATTGGTCTAACATAGGAGGCGTTGTATACACAAGCAATTAAATGCAGTCAGAATTTAGGTCATACCCTACTTCTTAAGTTTGTTTTCTTATGTCAGTGTGTAAAAAACAAGGGGAAGAAAAAGAGAAGATAAACAAAGGTAGCTAACACCCTCAGATCTTCATCGTACTATACACAGCAAGATTTACTCCTTGTTAGAGGTTACAATACATTGTACAAAGCAGACCAATTTGTAATAACAAAGTCACCCGACCTTGTCTCAGTTCAAACATTGACACTGCATCAGACATTTTGAATCACTTACAAAAGGCACCCTGTCTTCAAGACCCACTTCAAACCAAACCAAACCAAACAGAGGTGTCCGCTTGAAGCAAACTTGGCTTCCTTTTCGGTCTGACATGAAAACTGTTAGTGCAGTGGTTCTGCTCTATTTAACCTTTTGGTATTTACGCAGTGATTTCAACTGTACATTGTTTTCAGTTATTCAAACCCACATACCAGAAGAAAAACCCAAGATTAGAAGGAAAACAACTTCCATTAATAAAATTTTCAAATGAACCTCATTTACTTTTTTATCTTTGTCAGCCAAGCTTCTATTTTTTTTTTATTTGTATCATTAATAATAGCAGTCAACACTTCACAGTGCTTATAGCATGTTAGGCACTGTTCTAACGCTTTACTCATATTAAATTGTTACCTCCAGCCGTTACATAAGGGCTATAATCATCACCGTGTTGATGATAGATAAAGTAAGGCACAGGCAAGTTAAGTAACTAGCAGAGTGATCCACAGAAACAAGCGGCAGAGGTAGAATTGAAACCCAGGTGGTCTGGTTTAGAAACGTATTCTTAAACCCCTAAGCTATATTTCTAGTCTGCATTACAAATGGTATTTTCCTTGCTCTTCTTTGCAGTTAAAAGTTTGCTCTAATGGAAACCATTGGAGCGTAAGGTATATCCCTTCTATTTATATGCTGTGCTAAGCCAAACTGCCCTTACCAAGCTACGCTGGATGCCAGCCAGGAGCCACCATGACTTCCTTCTTTTTCCAATCATCTAATTAAAAAACAATAACTCAGAAAGTGAGCGGAATTCATCCACTGGGGAGGACATGGGGAAGAGAATGGAGGAGAGTCCATCTCGCAGCTGTTTTCTCCCAACTTTTCTGTGGCTCCAAGGAGCAAATTACTGCCTGTCAGAGGACGGTAAAGAGAAGGGGAAGGGTGACGGACCTGCACAGTCATCATGCTGGCAGTTTCACACTAAGAATATATAATTATCTCCATTTCACAGACAGAAGCTGGCTCTGAGAGGATAAGTAATTTGGCCGAGATAATGAAGTCACAACTTAAGCCCTGTGCTGTTTACCTCCAAAGCCCAGGCTCTTGCCGTGCTCAGAACGGAAGAAGACGGTTCTAATGAGATCTCCGAATCATCTCAGGGCACTTCCCTTCTGTAAACATGACATGAGAAATTTTCTACATTTTCTAACTGGCAATGTGTTCTGAGGCATGGCATGATGAAGTTATCTCTAGGCAACATAAATTTAGCCAAAATTAGAATACTTACATAGTAATAATAGTCATAGGGTTTATTTACACCCACATTGGCCCAGGAATCAAACTCAGGACCTTGCATTTGACAGGCAGGCACTTGTGCCACTGAGCTATACCCCTGGCCCAGAATTTTCCCTTTTAAGTGCGTCTCAATCTGAATATGCTCAACTGACAGATATTTTCATTTTGCGTGTGTTCGCCAAAAATAGTCACTTAACACGCAATATGGTCATGCTTTTTGTCTCCAAGTTAATATATAATGACAAAGAGTTAGAAATATTCCAAAGAAAAAATAAGTAAATAAAAAACATCAATTTTTGTATTTAACCAAGGCCTGTATCAGGTTGTTGTGAAAAATAAATGGGTAATATGTTTAAAGAGTACTGAGCACAATTTCTGGCAGGTTAAAATAACCAGTAAGTGGTAGAAATTCTTACTAGGGAAACAAAATAAAATGTAGGTATTAAAAAAAATACAAAGCACTGCTGGCCACAAATTTGTTGCTACTGAAAATATTTTCATAATATTTTCAATAATTTAAAGTAGAAGTGTTAATAATAAAGTAATACGCCTATAACTTATTTTTAAACATCTATTTTAAAATATTTTATTGGCTATATCTATAAAATACATGTATTTTATTTACCATCAGACAATTAGCCAGATTCTAAAGTAGTAGCAAACAGTTCTATTCTCAGAATAAAATGGCATCATTTTCTGCATTTTTAAATAGTTTCCAGAGGTTCCAAAAATATTTTTATACCACCTTTTGTTCCCCAAGGCTATGAATATGCAGAAAAATACTGATTTAAAGAGCAAAGTTCCAGACTTATTTGTAAGCAAACTTATTCTTGTAATGTAATCATTAGAATTATGAGAATTACAGTGACCGCACACATCCATCAAACCATCAGTTTGTGGGCTGTCTAAGCCACTCTTGAAGAGCAGAAAGCAAGACTCTGTTGCATTTGTGACCTCTAGAGGCCAATGTGAACGTGATATATTTTATTCATTCAACAGTGCCTCCAAATACAATCTTTAAGGGTCTAAGATTCATAAGTATTAGACAACTGAGCAAATTCAACAGAAGAAAGGTTTCTCTTTAAGTTGATAAGTTGCCTTGAACCAACAACCACAAACCACAAGTTGAAGTTTTAAATAACAATTTAAAAAAGACTCAGACATTTGGAGAAGCATTATAGAAAATGAAAACCTTGCCTACTTCACAGTGGAGATGTCCAGACTAATTACTAGTGGACAGAAATCCTCACAGTGGGGTTGAACATGGAGAAATGCATGCACTGGACCCTGACATCAAAGTTTGATTCTAATGTTTGCTGTGTATGTGTGTTCAGGAAAAGTTATTTACCAGCCTGAGCCTCAGTGTATTCATCTATAAATTAAATTAACACAGTAAAACCTTTACATTGCTGTCAGTAGATTAAAGGAGATAACATATTGTGAATGTATCTTGAAAAGTGCCAAGTATTAAAACAGTGACACAAATTTTATTATGATTGTATTTTTCCAGACATTTTCTTTTACCTATAAATGATGTGCCTTTTTCACCACATTGATAAAACCAAAACGGCACATTGATCCAGTAAAGTCGGCTTTAAATTAAAAGTAGGGTTTGTTATAGTCTCCCTACATTGTGCTCTGGTGACACTAGGCAGAATCAAGAGTGCAGCAGTGGTGATTTGCCTGCCCAATTACACTTAGTGCTTTGTCTTAAAGATGAATATTATGATACAACCTTTGAAATATCAGGACATTTCTTCCCATCTCTGTCGTTCTATTCAGTCCCAAGAATAATGTGCCCATGGATGAAAAGAAAAGTAAGAGAAACAAGAAAAACAAGACAGGCAAAAGTCTGGATCAGGGGGCTTACAGCCTCTGAGACTACAGCCCCAATTACCAATCTCAGTCACTTTTCATTGGGCGAAAACCTAGGGTGTAGCTAGTACAAATGGGCAGATACCAAATGTTTTAGTAATTAAAAATTATCCTTCTCCAATTCTGCCTCTTATGCTGCTGGCAACAATCCCCAAGTGGGCCTGATATACCCAGTACCACACTTACTCAGTTCAGCTGGGGGTTATAAATTGACCACTAGTTATCAATCCACTGCAATCCACCCCTGGTCAACTTGATAACCATATACATTTCCTTAATCCAATGGTCTCTAGTGGCAGATTTGTGAAAAGTTAACATGTCTTAGTTTATTCACATTTACATTAATATAACAGTTACATATATACAATTTCTTACCGACTAAGCTAGCCGGGCTGTATAATGAAGCCTTATCTTTAGAGACCTTAACAAACAATAAACAAATCATTGTATGTCCTCAGTGCTTTCTAATCAAAGAATGTCCTTTTCCACACTTCTGACATGTTCCGCATTGGTACCCAAGCACCTACACATGAACAATGCTACTGTGTTTAGCATCTTTCTTCAGGGGTCAGATCTTCCAGACTAGCTTTCTTTTCAGTGGGAGCAAAGTATATATTGTTTCAGTTTGGCACATTTGTATAGTGCACCTTTTGTACAGAACAGGTCTAACAAAAGGTGACTAAATTGTTGCTGCTGAGCTCCCTTGTTCCTTCTTTATTCCCATAAATCAAGACCAACTAGGGGTGCCTCCACTGCAAAGAGCATTGAGGAAGTACACAACCGACCACTATAATTCTTTTGTCTCTGATCTCTGTGTCTCAGTCCCTTGGTTATCAGCTCTCTTTCATGCCTCAGGACAATCTTTTGTGAAATCTTCACCAATCTCTTTAACCTCTTCTAATAAATCCTCTTCTGCTACTGTCAACAACTAATTCCACTTTTATTTAACAAAGAAAATCAATGCCTTAAAACAGAAACTTTAAACTTTCCACTATTCCACTCCCCAGGCATCAGTATCTACAGCATTGTTTTATTGTTTCCCCCGCTTCAGTGGATTAGTCTGTCTCCCACCTGAAATCAGCCCAAACGCTGTACCATGTCCATGTGCTACATCTATCTATGTTTCACTCACCCAAATTTCAACTGCAACTGAAGGAAATCAGAAAATGGTAGTGGCCTTATTTTTGTTTTGTGAAAATTAAGACCCTATATAATTAAATCAAAGCAAATATAATGATTCTACAACTATCAGATATGGCTCCTTCTCTATCTCAACACAGTTTTCCACCTCCTGGTCCAGGACAATCACTGATGCCCCTGCTAACACATGTGCACTCCAGTCAATGCATAACACACCAAATTTCCTCCCGTTGCCCAGAACCCGATCACAAGGGCCACCCAAGTAGAAGGAAAGCAAGAAATTTTACCTCAGTTGTAGAAAGTCATGAGCCCAACAAAGTATCAGAGGAAGAAGTGAGTGAGAAAATGGATATCGAGAGATGAGTACCAGCCTCACTACAGTCCACTCCTCCCTTCTCACGTTCCTTCCTTTCATATTTTCTCTTCCTTGCCTTTTCTAATCCCACCATCTAATTGATCTTCCCTTTAAACTCTTTGAACATCTTCCTCAACCCTGATGCTTTGCTCTTTCTTCTGTGAAGTTTCTTGAAGACAAGACTCTCATTGTCTTCATTTCTTTGCTGCATTTACTTCTCAGTTTCCTGCAGTCTGATGTATGCCCATTATGGGTTGAATTGCTTCTATAAGTGAAGATATGTTGAAATCCTAATCCTCGATACCTGTGAATATAACCTTATTTGGAAATAGTGTTTTTGCACATGTAGTTAAGATAAAGTCACACTGGACTACAGTAGACCCTAAATATAATATTTAATTCTTCATAAGAAGATCACAGACATTCAGAGAGAGTGCTATGTGACAATGGAAGCAGAATTAAAGTGATGCATATAAGACTGCTGGCACCGGGTGTGGTGGTGCACACTTGTAATCCCAGCACTCGGGAGGCTGAGGCAGGAGGATCATTATGAGTTTGAGACCAGCCTGGGCTGCAAAGTGAGTTCAAGGTCAGCCTGAACTGCATAGTGACACCCTGTCTCAAAAAGACAAAAAAAAAAAAGACTTCTGGCAAGAACCAGAAACTAGGAGAGAAACAAGAAAGCCTCCTGCCCTACAGCCTTCAGCAACAGCGTGATGCTGATGTCTTGGCTCTAGGACAGTGACAGAATTGCTTCCTGTTGTTTTAAACCACTAAATGTCTCTTACTTTATTTTGGTAACCCCAGGGAGCCAAAACTAAACATACTCCTTACCAAGTCACGTAGTCTCTTTCATTACTACAGCCAGAGGAAACTTTCCAACACTTTAAAATGTTCATCTCTCTCTACAGCATTTGACAAAATTGCTTATTCTCTGTCCTTCAATAATGTCTGCCTTGGCTTTTGGACATGACTCAGCTGTTTTTCTCGTATCTCTTAAGTGACTCCATCTCAATGTTCCATTCTAAGCCCTCTTTGGCTCCTGTTCCTTTCTTGTTCTTGTTGCTTTCTTCCAAGTTAACACGTTAACTGAAGTAAAATAAGCCAGTCACAGCAGAAAACACTACATGATTCACATTGTATAATGTGCCTAAAATACAAACTCAGAAACAGAGAGTAGAACTGTGGGCCCAGCGGTTGAGGAGGAGAAAACAGGGAGCTGCTGTGCAGTGGGCATAGTTTTAGTTC